CATCATGACAGTATCATCTACATGGTTGGAATAAAATAGTCTATAAATTAAAAATTAAATATATACCTATATATTAATTTTATTATTATATATGTGTAAACCTCGTTGAACGTTGTTATATATGTCTTTGAAAACGATTGCCATATTAAATAAAATCATTTTCCACTGCAATGCAGCTATTTACATTTTAATTGTATCTACTCGACCACTCATATATGCTATATATACTTGCGTATTATTTATTTTGTATTTACACGCAATGCAGATAATGGAAAATCATATTTGTATGTGTAATGTTAAGGTGTATGATTGCAGTCGACGAATTTTGACAATCACCAGCAAAGGAGTTGGTAAAAATTATGTATGGGGAGGGGGCTGGGGTTTGATATTAACGCCTATGTTATACTATACTATACTAAATCTAGCGCAACAATGTTTTTTCACAGTGTTTAAAAGTGTTGTTTTTAAATTTAATTTTAATCAAACATAACATTAACAATCATAAAAATGGAAAAAATGCAAGGTATTTTTTATGAAAAGTGTATTTCACTTGTAACCAAAAATAGGGAAGATAATTGTTTTCATTTAAGTACCGAAAAAATAAAATAAATGTATGAGTGAAGTTATTGTGTTAAATTAATAAAAAAAGTTCACAATAAACCACAATAGTGAATGAACTAAATTTAATCGATTAATCTAAATCTATTTATTTTTTAATGTCTGTTTTCATTTTTTATAAGTTATTAAATGTAAAATAATTGGTAAAGGTCGACAACCTTGCGGTGATTGTTAACACTCACCGTTAAACGGCCGTACACTTAACACTTACATTAAAATATAAATTATTAATACACATCATATTTATATTATATTTGTTTATTATTATTTATTTTGTATTTATATAGGTTTATATTTCACATTTCCAAGATTCTTTTATACGTGAATTTACAGATGATGAAAACGAAAACAGTACTTATGAATGCGATAATATATCTCGGTATTTTCTAAACAAATTTATAGTATATTATAAATATTATAATTTAAATGTATCAATATATTCAGATTTTTTCGATAAACCTATTTAATTTTTTATACTTCATTTTTAATTTGACAACATTATTTGAATAAAATTTTAAAATCAGTTATCACCTTTAGATCATAAATCATTATAATCTATATATAATAAAATGTTGACATTATAAATATTATACATATCTATATGACTTTTTTATAGAACTAAAATATATTTTACTACCATCATTATCTCATTCCAAACAAATTTTAGAACAAATCAATCGAATAGTCATAATTCAATGGATTCTATTATGGATAACAATAAAGAAATTGAATTCATGAAACAACAGTTGGAAAATGTTAGGCAACGAATAGATTATTTGTCAAATATGAACTGTCAACTCCAAAATGAGCTCAACATATCAGTATGTATTTAATCAATTTATTCTAGATGTTCACAATACATTTAAATTTCATTAAATATAGATACAAACCAATTTGTTATTGGAACAATGTCTTACAGTAAGTATTATAATATGAAGTATTTATTTATAAATATATTTGTTATAAATAATTATTAAATTGTAATATTATTTATAATTTATATGTGTCATATATATATATATATAAATAATTATAAGTTATGTATGATTACGGAAAATGTGGACAAGTTAGTGAAAAAAAAAAAAGCTTATAATCCATATTTTTTAAAAATAATAGTTATTTAGTAAATCATTGATTGGAGTTAGTTAAGCTAAGTCAATAGTTATAACTTATTAACTAATATTTAATTATTAATAAAATGTTTAAAAGTATAATTAAAAAGTATAAATTAACGTTACCAACCTACTGTTAATAATAACCATGTTAATTTAACAATACACTATAACATAAATTACGAAGGTAAATTAAAATAATAAATGTATAATCAGCTCTATATACCTATTATAAATAAAAATTTTTGTTTTTTAATAAAGTGTCCATACGTCAAGAACGAAGGCAAGATTACATTTCCTGGTAAAAGTGATTTGGTAAATGTTTTTCTGAAATTGCGGATATGACTGTAAAGTTTTTGACAGTTACATAACACAAATAATTTATGTTGTTATAGGATAAGCAGATCGATTATATATTTGAAGAAATAGCAAACATAAAGAATAACCTAAAAAATTGATCAAAATGACAAATATCTTGTCCGTAAATTGGATAAGATAGTACACTTGCCATTACCGAGATGTTACAATCATTGCTCTACAAATGTAGAAAAGTCACAGCAGCTTCTAGATGACGATGAAATCTTTATTCCTTTTAATTAAAATGAATAAATAATTTTACTTATTGTAATATACAGTGTGATCATAATTTAAGGTAACACTAAATATCTCAGGAGGATGACCTTGTATTAAAATGGGGTGTTTCGGGTGGTGATAGGGAGTAACTAATACATATTTTCAGATAAATTTAAAATTTTTCACATTTTTGATGCGTGCATGTGCAATATAACTTAAATTTATTTAAATAGAAACTCTATTTTTTTTCTACATATTTGGATAGATTTTTTTTTTAAAACATTTTTTTGTATTAAAACATTTTTTCTATTTACAAAATTGACCCATTTAGAGTGAGTTTATGTATTAATTCGTGTTTAAAGAAATTTTAATTTATAAACATCGGAAATAATATGCCAAATTAATGTTTAATTTAGGTATTTTATCCGTTTACAAATAATAATTTAATAATATTGTTGGTTACTAGAATGAATATCTCATGTATCTATATAATAATTTTTGTTTAGTAAACTGCTATAATACGATTACAATTATAACTATTTTTATAGTGGAATTTTATTTACAATAGCTCTAATAACGTTAAGATAATTAGCTAATCAAATTATACCTACACTAAAAATAATGTTTAATTACCTACTTCATACTTATTTTATTATTTTCATTGGTTTTAAATGAAAATTTCAACAACACGAATTATACATAAAATCAAATGTTGACTTACTCTAAAGGGGTAAGTTATGTAAATAGGAAAAAATCTTTTAATACAAAAAAATGTTTAAAAAAAAAAATTATCCGAATATATAGAAGAAAAATAGTGTTGCTATTTAAAAAAAAACTTTAAATTGTATTTTGCATGTGCACACCAAAAGTGTTAAAAATTTGAAATTTATTTGAAAATATGTATTTAGGTAGGTTCTGCCTATCATCATATACATGTAATGGTTTGGCTTGTTGGACGGAGGGGGTCGAGGAGAATAAGCCACGTATTATAGACGCTATTGAAGTTCAATAACTAGGTTCACGACAATAATTTCCGTGCCATCGCGCAGTCGATAGTCGTCGTACACCGTCATCTACGAATTCAAAGATAAAAAAAATTGCAGAATAGTTTTTTAAAAAATTAACCATTAAATTAAATTAAAAATACTGACTAAATATTAAATTAAGTATTAAGTATAATTAATTTTCCAATAAAAGGGTTTTTCTAATTCGTTGTTTTATGGAGTTTATGTTAAATAATTTAAATCTCCTCAGAATATTGACTACGATCCGCTACTAGTGATCAACTGTATATATATGTATATTATACGGGCGGGTTTAAGGGGGGTGGCTAAGGGGGCATTAGCTCCCCCTCCCCTTGGGACTAAGCTATCTATTTTACAAAGCAAATTATTATTAAATATTAATAATTATAATAAAATATCGTCAATGATCATTGATGGTACCTATATTATATATTTTTTTTATAAATAAATAGCTCACTTTTGTTGTTTTTCTTGTTTCATTGTGGATGTTATTTGATTTATTATTTGTACACCTACTTGATCACTTTCCTATTCAAATAATATCCTTCATTATCCAGGCTGATTTGTCCATATAAATTTTATTATTATTCATTATTTATTGTTATTGTTTTTTTTCTTTAATAATGATATGTAATATAATTGTAGAAATAAATTGTAAAACAAAGTTACAATAAAAAAAAAAAAAAATTATTTTCCTAACAGGTTTGAAATTAAAAACTTGGCGTTAGGAAAATAGGCAGATTCTTAGGACATATTTTTTGGAAACGGCAAATTTGTCTAAAAGCTTAATTATTTCTAAATGAGTAGGTATTCAACTACTGTTAGTTTGTTTACATTTTTATCAGATTGCCTGATTATTTTTGGTATTGAATACATGACTCAATAAATGATTAATAAAGCACTAAAATTGATTCAAAGGCAGTAAAAATAAACTTTCTTGTATCCGTTATTTATATTAATCCGTCTCGAGATATCGGTTCGATACTTACTACAAGTAACTATACATATTAGATTGATCATAAATAATAATGACAATTTATTGTAAAAAATGTCTTTATATTCTAACTTTTTTTCCAATTATGCACATATAATTTCGTAAGTAGTTATTCAAATATGTTTGTACAAGGCTGTTGTGTTCAAATACACTCTACCTTAGAGGTATCTAATATTATTAGATCTATAGTCTTCAGATTTATAACCCATTCATATTCAAATATTATTTTTAGACAACAATATGCTATGTTTAGGTTTGGACACCCAGACCTGAGTGTGTAGGTTTGTGGATAAAACGTAAGCCCACCTGTCACTGTGTTGTCATTCGTGTTATCTTTTTCATTGATAATTCTTATCAACATTTTTAAGTAATAATTTTTTCATTTGGTTATAAATCGTTGTTTTTAATTTAAATTAAATGCCGTGAAATTATTATATTATTACTGTGATATCGTATTTTATTTTATTCTTGTAGATTATACAATACGTGTTATGATATTTATACATAGGTACCTATTTATCTACATTTCAACTGAATCAACATTGATATTTACATAATGGTCTGTTATATGGTTTTATTTTATTAATATCCATGAGTAACTCTGTAAGAGTAACTAATAGTTTACTGTAATTTTTAAGAATACATTGCTTTTGAAAATTGTATTAACAAATTAAAATAATAAGTATGGAACGAGATTATGCTCCACTGAGTACAGCGTGTGTCCGAGCGTTGAACGATAAAATGTATGATAAGAGAAAAGCAGCAGCTCTAGAAATTGAAAAGTAATTGTCTGATTATTTGCTTTAATGTAATGTGAATTGTTTTACTTTTAATTAAATGACTTTTTGATCATATAGGATGGTTAAAGAATTTGCTGCTGTAAACAATTCTATGCAAATACGACGGTTATTAAAAGTATTGGGGCAAGATTTTGCAATGTCTAAAAATCCTAATGCTAAAAAAGGAGGTTTAATAGGACTTGCTGCCATGGCTGTTGGATTAGGAAAAGTATACATTTTATCTAATACATATATTAATATTTTTTAACATATTATTTAATTTCTAAATTCATTTTTTTTTTAAGGATTCTGTAAATTATATTGATGATTTAATTATACCTATATTGGTGAATTTTAACGACTCAGATTTAAAAGTCCGATACTATGCCAGTGAGTCACTATATAATGTTTCTAAAGTGGCTCGTAGTGCTGTATTAAAACATTTTCCTGATATATTTAAATCATTAAGTAAATTAGCCACTGATCCTGATCAAAATGTTAAAAATGCCTCAGAGCTCCTTGATCGTTTAATGAAAGTAAGTATAAAATTAATAATGTTGTATACTTACTTTGTTACTTATTGTTCACTATCATTTTTTTTGTTTGTTTGATTTATTTTGAAGGATATTGTTACTGATCATTCTAACATTTTTGATCTTATTGGATTTATACCATTGTTGAGAGAGCGCATTTATACAGACAATACATTTGCAAAACAATTCATAATTTCATGGATTACGGTTTTGGATGATGTTCCATCAATTGATTTAGTGATATATTTACCAGAAATTTTGGATGGTTTATTTAAAATGTTGTCTGATCCAACATTTGAAATAAAAAAAATGTAAGGAAAACTTTTTTTACTTTATGAAATTCTTATATAATTATACAAATACATTAAGCAATTTTTAGTTTGGTTATTATTTTCAAATATATTAAGTTCTGCATATTAATACCATGTATAAAATAAAATTGTTTCTTTTTTTTTTTTTTTTTTTTTAAAAACTTAAATATGAAATTTGTTTCATGTGTGATGCTGTCTTGAAGAAATTTTTACAGGACTTACATCAAAATCCTGAAAAAGTAGAATACACCGATATGATAAATACTTTAGTAATATATTCATATTCTACAGATGAATTTGTCCAGGTAAATAAGTATTTATTTTTTATTCAATTACGTATGAGTTATATATAATTGTTTATATATTTATTTTTTTTGTTTATGATTTTAGTATACAGCAATGTGTTGGATAAAGGAATTCATTGACTTATATGGTTCAAAAATCTTACCATTTACATCTAGTATTTTAAAAGCTTCAATGGCATCTAATTCAAACCATGATAATGAGTCCCAAATGCGTAAATATTTTTAAAATAATGCTCAATAATATATTTAAATAAATAAAATTTGATTAATTACCATAATATTTTATTTATGAAAATTATTTTGTGTTTAAATTTTTATAAGTTACTATAGTAGAGTTGTGTTTTGTGTTTAAATGTTTATAAATTATTGTAGCAGAGTGGTGTCAATACAATCATCAATTTTAATCCGTCTTTGTGCAAAAAACATTCTGTATAGACTGAACTTCGAAATTAATTTCCCTTTAATGTTTCTTTTTGATGAAACTGAATAATGTACATGATAAGATAATTTGATGATGTAGAAAATCATCATAACCAAGTTTGTAATAATTATCTATTATACTGATATAGTCAGTAGTAAGACTGTTTAAAGAAACATCATTACAAATAAAATTGTTTTTGTTAAAATAACCAAATTTGAAATACTTATTGAAAATTTTACTATTTTTATAGATTCGAGTTTACTGTTTTTTTTTTTTTTTATATTTTACAAATTTATTTTTCTTTAACTAAGTGCATATTATCTTCATAATATGCATAATATATTGCAAGTATATTCAAATTTATAATTGTTCTTCCTAAATTTTTATATTTAATTACTTTATTTTTATTGAATTGACTGCCATAAAGACTTTAAATTGTTAACTTTTGAATATTATTTTAGTTAATTTAAATTAAGTTTAGTTAAATGTTTAATATTAAAACTATATTTTCTGCTACTTCAAATTTTCTATTTATTTTATTGTTTTTAAATTTAATTATAATTTAACAAATTGTGTTATTTTATGAACCAGGTATCAAACAAACTGCTAAATTAGTCAATTCAACATTAATGGAGCTTATTATTGGTGTAAAAGATATTACTGATGATTCAAAAGAAAGCACTGAAGTAATATAATTTACAAAAATGGAAATTTATTTTATATTAAATTGTTATGTTGTAATCTAGGGTGAAAATCTAGACCTTGCATCAGTTATTACTGTTTTTACTAAAGAATTAAGTGGATCAGCAATTGAGACTAAAATAACAGTATTAAAATGGATCTATCATTTATTTATTAATTTACCTAATAGAGTAAGTAGGTAAGATATTAGGTTATAAATAAACAATTTAACTACTTAATTGTGTTAATATATTTTACTTTATTTAGATGATTGTTCATATGGAATCAATATTTCCATTATTGTTGTCAACATTATCATATCCTAATGAAGAAGTTGTACATAACAATTTGAAAGTTATTGCAAAAATAATTTCACCATCAGCTGCTCAAACAAATAATAAACATTATTTTGATAGTTTTATTATAAGTCTATTAAAACAATTCAGTTGTGATCGAACGCTATTGAAAGACCGTGGACAGTTTATCATAAGGTTTTTGTTCATCTAAATAATATTTATCAATTAAAAATGTATTAAAAACTGTATACAATGTTATGGTATATTACAAAAATCTCAGATTATACATTAGTGTATTGTTATGAACGTTAATTGATAATTACTCAAATAATTTAAAATTATTTTTTAGGCAAATTTGTGGTTTATTAAATTCTAATGATATTTATCGTACATTGTCTACATTCTTGTTGGATGAGGAGAATATGAAATTTGCATCTGTGATGGTAGGAACATTGAACACAATATTGTTGACATCTCCTGAATTGTATGATCTTCGTACTCAATTGCGAGCTGTTGAAAAACAAGTAATAACATTATAAATTAAATTTAGACTGTGAGTTTTATATAATTTTTAAAATACAGTAGTAAAATGAATGTAGAATTCTGTAATTAAATAATATTAAAATAATTAATAATATAAAATTATAATTAAAAATAACATTGAAGTATATGCACTTGTTGGTTATAAAATATTTTTATTTTGGATCTTTCAAAAATATTTTGTACATTATAATTTATAACAAATAAGTGGTAAAATAAATATGTGTCAAATTTTATTAAACAATTTTTACCTAATATTTTTTGTCTTAGGAAAACCGAGAAATGTTTCTATGTTTATTTCGAACATGGTGTCATAATCCAGTAGCTGCAGTTGCACTGTGTTTGCTTACTCAAAATTATCTGCTCGTCTGTAAGTTGTTACAAAAATTGTATCCTTTTTGAAAGAAATTAAATATTATATTGATTGTAATTTATATTTTTTTCTTTTGATCGATTAGTACAGCGGTTCCTAAACTTTTATTTTCATGGTGCCTTTTTTTGACCCAATTTAGCCATGGTGCCTTACTGTGAATAACATTTAAGATAGAACAAAAAAAAAAAAAAAACTTATTAATAATCAATTTTATAAATTTTATTAAAATTTAACTCAAGTATAAATTAATGCATTTTTAAACTTAAAAAATAAATAAATAAAAATTATTGTTATTATGATTATAATTATTATATAAAAATATTATTGTGTTAAAATGAGAGTATCCGAATATATAATAGAAAATATTACATTATTTGCTATAAAGTTTTTACGAAAACATAAGGAAAAACAATTTTATACATTTTAAACTATTTGTTATGAACCGTAGACCGCGGTGCTTTTAGAAAGTGGTCGTGGTGCCCCTAGGGCTCCGGGTTGTACAGTTTGGGAACCGCTGGATTAGTATATTGTTTATTAATCAATATATTTTGTTAAGACAATTTTCCTTACTGATTACTTTGGTAGTGCATCAATGGACATTACTGTTGATTTACTCGTTGAAGTAGATAAATTAATCCAACTATTGGAATCACCAATATTTATTTGTAAGTGCATGCATGTAAACTATAATGATCCATCAGTATTAATTTTGGGTGTTAATATTTTTAGATTTAAGAATGGAGCTCTTAGAAGAACCAGTAAATCAGTATTTAATTCAAGCGCTTTATGGACTCCTCATGATAATGCCACAATCAGATGCATTTCAATTACTGAGACACAGGTTAAAATGTGTTCCTAATTTAAGAATAGGATCAGAAAAGTACGTTCTGTTTGTTATTCATATTTCTTACCCTTTCAAAATAAGGCTTCATTAAATTTCAAAGATTATATATTAATTTTTTTTGTAGTAGTTACAATTGTTTATTTAATTAAAAAAATGTTCTTCTTTTTTTGTTAACGGTATTCTTAAGTTTGCAAAAAGAATCAATTTAATGTTTATTTGTTTATAGGTCAAACTCTGAAAAAGTCAAGGTAGATTTTAAAAATGTATTTGATACAAATACAATGTTAAATCATTTTACTACGCTACAAGAGAAACATAGAAATTACCGAATAACTTCTAATGCACAACAGCTTGATAAAGCTATTTCTAAAATTGATATATAACAATTATAGCCTTACATTTTAAATCATTAATTATTATATGCCATTTTTATTTTGTAAACAGAGATAACCAATGTGCTACTTGTATACATTGCAAAATTGCGCTCAACATTTTAATTAGCTAAAATATGACTTTATTGTTGTTATTTGTTTTAGAAACATCTTGATGATTGGGTTGATACAAATATTTGTAAATTAATTTTTAAACATGTTTATTAATTTATAACTATTTAAATTAAATTAAATTTTAAACTGAATACTTTATATATATATATATATTGTGTTGTGTATGATTTCAGTGGAGTCATTTTATAGTGGGAGTAAGGGTGGGGAATCTCTGTATCATGATTCCTCAAAAATGTAAAAAAACATTGATAAGTAGATTTCATTAATACATGGTCCATTGAGCTATTTTTAAAAAAATACGTTACTTATATACTTATATAGTATAATATATACTATACATACGCTCACTTCATTTCTCCTCAAAAATGACGCCACTGTTTGATGTGTGTTATATATTTTTTATTGATTGTATTATTAATATTGAAATTATTGTATTGGAATTTATAAAATTTATTAAATAGAACATTTGAAATAAATATTCACAATTAAATTGACCTACTTGAAATACAATTATTTGCCCTAGCGGATTTGAGAGTATGAATATTAAAATTAAAAATTTATCTTAAACATTATACGTGTAGGTACTCTGACAATGAAAACAGAATTAAATTAAATATAATGAATTATAGTTGTCGGTTAGACCAATTGCGTAGTTTGTTTAAATGTGATATTGTATTTTTAATTAATTTAAAAACTTATGATTTTATGTTTTTTAAAATTATCATTTATATCGCTAAAACAGGGCTGTTGTTTGAGATGGTATAGATGTGCAGTTACACCGACTTTATAACAAATTTAACACTAGAGATCATTAATTTTAAGCCATTGAATTTGCTTCTTTTTTTTTGAATCCTTTATTAAATCTGTCGAAGCAGATTTAAAATGATCATAAAGAGTCGAAAAATTATTTATGACAGTATTTATAATTTGTTTACTATACTCAACCAAGCGAACAGACAAAATTCTTCTTATTTTTAAAATTAATTTTTCTATTTTTCTGAACTGAATTTGATTTATTTACGATTGGTGATATATAGAATATAATTTTTCCATAAATATTTTAAAATTTCTTTTTTCAGTAACTTAATTTACAACATCATAAACGGCAAGCCTCTTGGACTTCTATAAAATCGAACTTCTATATTATATTTTGTCGAAAGGAAATTTGATTATTTTTAATTCTCTTGATTGAGATACTGTCATAAATGTCTTACCATTTTCAATATTTTTTATGAACTGGAGCTTTTAAATTCTAATTTTAACCAACCGGAACGGCCTCAAAAGCTAAAATTACGAATAGGAATATCCATTTAGGGCACTGCTTATATAATACGAATGTGTCTTATAAAAATTATGGAAACCTAGACCTTACAGATATTAAATATTATTATATATTCGTGTTTTCGTCGGGGTGTACTTTTGAATTGGTATATAGAATATTCTATGCCTAGTCTAGCATAATGATACTTCTTGTTTAACAAAATTGTAAAGATAAATAATGTATTCATTATCAGGGCTGAGACATATCTAGATAAAAATATTAACTATCTATTATTTTATCCAGATAGAAATACAATTTGTATCTATCATCTATCATAGACGAACGCTTTAGTTATCAAGATAATTTTTATTAAATGTGTAATATTGATTTTAATTTTGAGGGCTCCGAGACAGACTCCGGAGACTTTTCCTTAGTAGCTGCGACAGTTATATTCAAAAATGAAAATGAGTAGTTAAAATTGATATGATTGAAAAAGCACGCATACGTTTTCCTTAATTTTGACGAAAATGTATGATCCTAATGATTGTTGACTAATTGTAGCTATTACTCAGCGCAGATATGTGTACATATTACAGATATAAATTGCGTATCCGTGTGGAATGATCATATATAATAACGAAAATGTTAACTTTTTGGTTAATAGATAACAATTAAGAATAATCATCGTCGTTATTTACCGTTTCTCCTTGAAAACAAATCTATTGATCCAGCTGGAGCAGTTTTATTTTACCATATGTATATATATATATATATATATATATATATATACGTGTTGAGAGCTTATAGTATCGTAATACTCAGTAACTCAGACAGTAAGAAAGTTATCAATTTCAATTATTCAAACCAAAACTCGGTACTGTTGAGAAAATAATTATTTTCAAACTCTTCCTCACCTCTCCAACCATTGAAAAATGTTCATACATACTACGGTGTTCGTTGACAAGCGGTCATCGTCCGTGACATCCGTCATTAATTTTGTAGAACTCTATTTCGGTCTCTATTTCATCTCCGAGGATTTTCAACCCGCAATCGTATCGTTTAAAACACGCTGCTCTACTTGTCGTTAATATCGATACTTACCAATTTACCAGTACCCCGAAATGAAAGCGGAAGACTTTGTAAACGTGCCATTTACAATATATATTTTAGTCGCCCAAGGAACCGAATGAAAAAATTATACACGACTTGTTAAGTGATTTACAAGATAATAATAATGGAAAAAGAAATATTTTGATTATTAATTATTTTAATTTTTGTTAAAATAAAAATACTCAAGCAAAGTGCAATAATTAAGGTAAACATGGATGCAACTTTAGATATGCAGATTTAAGAATGCCAATATTAGTATTTGACATTAAATATTAAATTATTAGCTGACATAAACTATAAAATACGAGTACATATCCAGTAAAACACTCTCTAAGGCAGTGTTTCTCAACCTTTGTATAATGGCGACACACTATTAAAATATTTCATACTTTGCGACACATAGTAAAAAAAATAAGAATAATAGATATTATTAAATATTTATAATTAGTTAATAATATATAAACTTATAATATATAATCAATTATAATATATAAAACAACAAAGAAAAATATAACATAGGTAAAACAGCATTTTAATGAGAAATTTGTGACTTATATTTCTTACATAATGTATCAATTTGTGGTGAAATCTTCGATAAGGCGAATCTTAACTCCTCTTCGACATTAATTAATCTTTCCCTTTTTTTGTTTTTAATTTCATTCAAAGCAGAAAAAGCTACCTCGCACAAATATGATGTCGAAAATGGTAATAATACGGAATGAGCCAATTTTGTTAAGTTCGGATATTCTTTTTTTGTGTAAATCCAAAATTGGTTTAGCTCGAGCTCATTAAATTTCATTTGAAGAGCGCGATCGTTTTTTAATTCAGCAAGTTAGGTTTTAGTAACAAAAAAATATTGTTGTTAATAAATTAAGAAAAAGTCTATTCGACTATAGAAGTAAATGACAACTGAGCATACAAATAAAGTGAGTTATTGATACGGTGCATGTTTTCAGTATAAATATACTAAACGTATTCACTGTTTAAAAATAAATGAAAATATCAAATTTATAAATTAAGATGACACTCAATAGGCGATTCGAACGCGATTAATCGTTCAAAATGACGATAATAATAATAACCCAACGATAATAATACAATTTATTTTATGTCAATAGCTGAAAATCTATTTTTATTATCATGGAAATTATATCAAATACCTATTAATTTTTGTAAATAGTTAATAGTGTTAATAATGTTTTTTGTCATTTAATATTAGTACTTCACGCGACACATTTGGACTTGCTCGGCGACACACCAGTGTGTCGCGACACACCGGTTGAGAAACACTGCTCTAAGGAACCAGCTCACTAGAGCGTCTTAAGCTGGAGAGGGTTTTTTTGTGAGGATTCAAAAAAAAAAAAAAGTGATAGAAATATTGTGTTTATTAATTTTTATTATTAAATACAATTTAATAGGTAAGGCGCTTATAAATTATAATTACATATATTTGTTTGCTATTGAATTTAAATTAAAAATAAATACTTACATTTATACAACTTAAATATTTATATTTATTATTTTTTCTATTTTTATTACATATTAAACAAATTATCTGTTTTTGTTTGCTTATGATGCCGACTACGCGTTTCATTAAAGAAGCTTTGATTTTGTTGACATAACCCAATATTTTTACGGTATTTTCTACAGTGGATAATACTTTTAGAATTTCTAATGGATGTTGTAAGCCAGTTATAATCGTAGAAATCGATATTGGATTGTCTGGATCTTCTTCTTGATCGTCTTAAACCTCATAACACAATGAAATACGTACATACTAGTGAAAGTACTGCAGGTAGTATGATGAAATAAGACGTAAAAGTATACGAAAACGAGTAAAATTTCAATTTTTATTTTCACACAATTACTAAACTTTGTCGTAATCTGTTGAACGAAAGAGCGTTTAATCCGATTAGTTAGAGAAAAACCGAGCGTCTTTACAGGTAATTTTTACATTGTCTAGTCTAAAATAAAGTAGAAATATCTAGGGACCGACGGAAAACAACGTTCTTAGCGAGTTTTTTTTGTATATTTAGGCGTTCGGATTACTTGTTTAGTCCCTTCTCAGACAATGAAAAGATTAATTATGAAGTGAGAGTTATTTGTTCGTTATAGAAACTGTAACCACTTGAATCGATTTTAAAATTTAAAAAAAAATACTTCAAATTTATTGATGAAAATATATCAGTTATACCATTGCGTTATTTTACGAAATAAAAAGTCACTCGCGTCCATTACAAACACTTAAAGAGAACTACATGGAATATTTTGGTGAAATTTAAAAGCACAAATTTATAGTTATTTCACAAACTGTTGTATGTAACACATAATGGAAAATTATTGGGGAGTGCAACGAAGGAATTTCTACAGATCAATGAAATAATAGTAATAAAAAAATAAAATAAATGAAACTTTCGTTGCGATCTAGAAGCTGCGGTGGGTGCGACCCGATTTATGATATAAACGCCATTTATGATTATTCGTTATAAACATTATTGTCTAAATAATGAATAACTGAAATGATCACCGGTATACTAGTACAATGAAAAATATACTAGCACTGTCGATCATAAATCAGTGAAGTCCTCCGTGCCACGCAAAGCCAACATTTGTAACATTACAGTTGTAGAACCCAAGTATGATTTTGGTTTACGACTTTATTATTGGCCCACTTAGAT